TCCGGTAGGGGCAGGGCCTGCCCCAACAAGCCCTGCCGCAGCGCAGGGAAGGGCTCGGCGGCGCTTTGAAGCAAAGACGTGCCTGTTTCCCACTGCTCCAATGCTGGGAAGGGGCACATATATCTTTTGGTACGCCAGGAGCATTCCTCCATTGTTACTCAGCCTTTTCTGTGTTTTTAAGAAACCTCTTCCAGCAGCCAAACTGCAATCCTTGTACTGGTGATCAGTGCTGCAGTGCTTTCCACGTTGGTGATCTGCTGGATCTGTTGCAAAGGTGAGCGTCCACGTCTCGGCGAGCAGCTCCACCGAGCGAGGCAGGCTTGCATGGCTGAGGCTCCATTCGTTCCCCCTGCTCCCTGCTGGGCTTCGCAGTGGCGCCGAAGGCCTTTTCTCCCTTTTCTCCTCTCCCCACTTCCCGGGTGAGGATGGGGCGGCCGGAGCTGAGGACATGGCGCATGGTTCGCTCCAGCTTCTGCAGCTAATGGAGCTCCTTGTCCTTTCTCCTGCAGGCAGGCAGATCGTCTCTTTGCTCACAGCTTGTACGACCAGTGCAGGTAAGATTTTAGGAGTCTCCCAGGTAATTTTCCTCCTTCCCTGTTTTGCAGATGCATAGCAGGCTGCAAACAGGTTCATCTCATTTAAGGTCAGAAGGAAAATCATCCCTTGTTATTGCTTGCTACCAGAGTGTAGTGTATCCCCAAAATGCATTCAAAACACCTGTATCCAGGCTGAGGGTCACCGTCCATCATCCCTGGGACTTTCCCAGGGCTTGCAAACTGCCAGGGCTCCTTCCAAAGCTCCTGCGTGATTTTGTGGTGACCGAAGCCGTGCTTTCCTTCAGTCCCTCCTTGTCCTGGCCATGGGGCCTGCACGGAGGTCTCCATGTTTGCTTGGCCCTGAGAGCTTCCAAGCAAGATGAGATCTGGGAAAATCCCAGGTAGGCAAGAGATGGCCAGGCTGCAGAGAAGCAGCACGGGGGGGCCATGCGCCCTGCCACACAGCCTGCAGCCTCCCCAGTGGCCACCTGCAGCTGCTTTTGCAAGTGGCCTCGGCTGCTTTTCTGGGAAGTGGCATGCAGGCGGAGGTGAAAAGTGTTCCCCAGCTGCATTTGGGGACCTCGCCCCGCTGGGGAGGGTGCCAACATGCATGATCGACATCGCGAACGGAGCCAGGAGCCGCGGGAGCTCACGGTGCGAGTCCAGCCGAGAAACCGAGCGGAAGCCGAGGCTGAAGGGGCCTTCCTAGGCACCGCTTCCCATCCCGGTGGGCAGGATCGTCCCGCGCTGGGCTGCCAGAAGCAAGTGGATGCCCCACAGGGATCTCGCTAGCCTTCTTGCCTGGAGGCTTGTTTGCACTTTGCTGCTTTCCATAAGCTGAAATAAACCCCGCGTTTCACGTTTGTGTCCGCAGGTATCCGGCCAGGAGAGCTCAGGCCTTAGTGCCTTCCCTGGCCGATCCCAAGGTCAGCTGCGCACGGTCATTTGGAGCCAGCTACTCCACCAGAAATGAGCAAAAACCCGCAGAGCTGCTGTTACTTAATGGGGCTGGCAGCAGTATTTCAAATGAAAGGCACAGGCACTTTGACTGCAAAAATGGGATTATGAAGGATTTAAGTGCCTACCCCCCCTTTTTTAAATAAAAGAACTAGCTAATACTACCACTTTCTGCAGTGTTTGCAATTTGTAAAGCAATGATAAACACCTGCCTCCCTCTGAAAGCAGCCAGGTGTCATGTATTTAAGTAGTAAATGTTCTGAACATTGAACAAAGTCCTTTGAGCACCCTGTCTGCAGGTGGCAAGCGCACTGGCAGCAAAACCTCCAACCAAAACCATGGTGAGCGCTGCAATGAGGTGGGAGAGCCACAGCCTGCACGCGTTGACGTGGCGCGAGCCCGGCACGTGGCCGAGCCCTGTGGACAGCACGCCCAGGCGAGTGTTGGGAGCCGCGTGGTCACTCACGCGTCCCCTTTTTCTCCTTGCAGATGCCAGTGCTGAGTGCACGACGGTGTATGCCCAGGTGGGCTTCTCTCGGCAGGTGAGTCCCCCCCTGCGCAGGGGGCACAGCTACCTGCCTGCACCTCCCCCTGGTCCCTGTCCCCACTGAGTTGCAAGCCCCGTGCTTGCTTCATTGGCATTTTTTGCAGGCTCACTTAGGGCACCTTTTCAAACCTCTGCAGGATCACATGCAGCATTTCTCTAATGCAGAGAAAAATGATGCAAAGACGACGCCGGCTACCAGTGAGGAAACCTCTAAAACTATCTATTCCACGGTGCAGGCCATGGCCCAGGTGAGTCGCTACTAGCTGCCTTCCCTGGCCAGGCAGCGCGGCTGCTGGGATGAGAAACTTAGCCACGGCGCAAAGGGCAGCACCCCGTTGGGTGCCGCTGCTCGGCCAGAAAGTGCCCAAACATCTGCCCAGCACAGCGGTGCCTCTCTGCAGCTGCAAATGGACGATGAGAAGATCTGCAAAAGCGTCCCGGGGCACCTGGAGCAGGGGGAGAAAAGCCTCTGCGTGGTGGTGAGCACGGTGCCAGCCCTGCATGGCTCCATGGGGCTGCTCTGAGCCTGGCTCCTCCTGGTGCTGCTGTTGGCTCGTGCACCGACATCCCTCAAACCAGGCTGCCACCGACCTGCCTTTTGGGAAAGGACTCAGCCACAGCGGGAGGATGCCTGCACCTAGGGAGAGACGCGTGTGCTGAGATGCAGCTCTGCCTGTACTTTAGCATCCGCCTGGGGTTCGGGCTCCTTCTTCTGTCCTCTATGAGCAGAGCAAGGGACATGCAACAAAATGGTGGCAGCT